AGGAAAAAAATGGAAACAAAATCTTTGCAAATAGGGAAGGGTGGATGGGGTGAAGGGAGGGCAGGGGAAGGGGAAAAAAATAAGAACCAAGATACTCATGTAATGGTACAAGATCCCAATGATGAATGTAGCTGTATTTTATACTTAAAATGTACCAATAAACTTAATGGGGAAAAAATAAAATTAGCGTATGTTTAATAACTACATTCATTGTGGGGAAGTGGTACATGTACATATCGCATCTTGGTCCTTTATTTTTTTCTAGGGAGCAGACAGCTCATTCCTGGGAGCAGTCTTACCGCTTTCTTTCCTGCCTGTGTGAGCCTTGAAAAAAAAAATTCTCAGCTAAGCTCCCAGGCTAATAAGCACTTTTCCTAATTCTTCTTGCTGGTTTTGCCTCTGGCTACTGTGCTTAGGGCCCCTGAACTTCCAGTTCCCCGGAAGGATGGGGCCACGGGTAACAGCCAATGAACACAGTGGTAGCTGTGTCTACTTGTTCTGTCTGCGGCATCTTTACTGGGCCATGCTTATCTTGTTTCTACTTTCTGTTTTCTTGGTCATAGCTAGACTTATCTCTAATGGAACTTCCAGCTTCCTACAGTCTCACTTAATCTTCTGAACTCCATTCCTCTTAGCACTAAATCTGCTGCTTGAGGATCACAGCCTATGTCTCATGTAGGACATCCGTGGCTCCCAAGTCAATGGCACTCTTTTGTTCTGGATCCATCTACGAACAACACCTGAGGATTGGTTTCTGAGGTGCTCCACAGTGCAGAAAGAAGGCATAAAGTTCAGCAGAGAGATGTTCTCTGTATTAGCATCAGTATCAGGTCTCATTTTAGAATAAAAGTTGTGAATTCTGAGCATGATAGGAACTAGAATATTTTAATGTTAGGATATTTTTTCTGTCTAATAACTAGATGTAGAGTAAAAGTACTAAGAAGTAGGAGCTAACACATGGATAAATTCTTGAGGCAGAAGGAATGATGAGAATTTTTTGAAAAAAATGGAAACAAAAACAATTTGAAATAAAACACAGGATTTAAACCACTGAGGCAAAAAATAGGTGGCTGTATAAGTAAGCTACTTAAGTAAAATAAATATAAACTAAATGTTCACTAAGACCAAAGAAGTCAACCCCACTTTCTTAAATGAAAACAGTAGCCACAAGGGTCATTTGGGGTGACTACTTTGAGACTGTTGTTTACTGTCTCCCCAGTATGACGGAAGGCTTCCAATCCCACCTTTTGGTTTCCCGTGTCTTCTTCTACCATTTTAGTAAGTTTTCCAAAATAATGCATTGCTATTTTAGTCATATAAGTCATATGTAAAAGCAGAGCTGTTGCCACGTGTGGGCCATGATGGTGCATGCCTGTAATTCCAGCACTCAGGAGGCTGTAGCAGGAGGATCGCTGAGAGTTGGAGGCCAGCCTGAAGTACATAGGGAGACTTTGTCTCAAAAAACAAAATAAAACAAAATAAAACAATAACAATAAAAGGAGGTGTTACTTTGCTCAGGAAAGCTCATGCATTTGATTTAAATCTTTTAAGCCATAATTCCTATATCTAGGTTGGTTAAGGTTTCATTTTTTTTTGGCGGGGGGGGGGGGGGGTACCGGGGATGGAACTGGGGACCTTGCACTTGCAAGGCAGGTAGCAGAACCTCTGAGCTAAATCCCCAGCCCCAAGGTTTTCTTTTAATAATACTTATAAAAATTATTTTGCCCTATGTAAATATGCATTTGCCAGACTGCAAAGGAAAAGGCAGTTAGCATGAGGCATAGAAAGTTTTTCTATATCAAGATGATAAACTGTAAGCTGTCCCACACGTATGAATGTGGAGCAGTTAAATTACCCATCTTTTGAAAATTTCTATCATAACATTCATATATTTCTCTATTAGAAGTGAAATAAAATGATATTTCTTTTTCAAATGGTTCCTGTTAATATTTTAGGAATTGTTGTCAGTAAAGATAAAACATTGAAGCCAAGTTTTTACTCTGTTGACTCTTTTTTAAAACCTGCGATAGGTGAGAACTCTTATTTTGATGTTCATTCTGGCCCTTCCCGATTAGCCCACACTTCATTTTATTCCAAGTATTTTTTTTGTGTTTGCAGTGAAAACATGACTTGCACAATTCAGAAGGCTGCAGAAAATGCTGTGCCCGGTCAGACAAAATGGATTAGAAAGGGAGTATGTTCACCATGGGCCATGAAGATTGTCATTGTTTGGCCAACTACAGAGCAATTTGAGATTCAGCAGTTTCTTCTCCAGTTAAAAAAAATAAAAGGAGAAGTTAAGTCATTAAGAAATGAGAGATTTGTATGGGAAATTGAATGCATGTCAGAGATACTAACAGACTCTCTTTTTGTTAATTCTTCAGGACTCTACTGAGATGGATTATTACTCAAAGTGCTCTAATTCCCAACTGGTGTTTTTCTGTGGTCACTACTGCATCCCTGGCCTCTCCGGACTTAGCGCTGTTGGGCAAATTGCCTGGCCTCCGGAATGCAGCTTGTGTGTCCGTGCCAGTTCTTAGTGCCCTGGAGTCCTCCAGTCCTGATAAAAGTCTTCAGCCACAGATTAAGCCAGAAGCTACTGTATGACCACAAGGATCAGAGGAGCCCTGCCTCTCTTTACTGGGATGGCCTTTGGGGGAAGTTTAGCTGGGTCACGCCTGTCCCGGCCCGCGGGTAAGTCAACGGAGACCCTAGAGGGGGAGCGAGGATGAGAGGGGACAGGGGACACGAGAGATGGAGACAAGACAGGTTTCTGATCAAGTCTCGTTTATTGC